TATGTCTTCACAAGTGTACAAAATACAATTGTCATATAACTAAAGTGGACAGAAAAAAGCCAATTGTTATAGTATTCAGGACTTAATAAAAGCTTCTTTCTTGTAAACTCATGGTTCAAAAATACAGTTTACAACATTTTTTCTATAACTTTAAAAGCACACTCTATTTTAAAGGAGTCGGATAGATATTTTGTAATCCAAAAAAATTATTTTTTACATTATTTTTATTTGAAGTTCAAATTATCTCTTTAAATTTGGGTTTAAATTATTGCAGATCTTTGTGGTTAAAAAACAAACATTAAACAATATTAAAACACTTTATTTTTAAATACTTAAACATTTAGAATACTATTTTTTTTTATTTTTACACCCTTGCAAGGTATTAAAATTTTAGTGAGAAGTCATAGTTAATGTTTTAGAAAAAAAATTTAATAACTTTTACAGTTTTAAACATATTTTTTATCTGATTTGATTCAAAGCTATCTTTTATTATTATAGAGTTTCGTTTAAGTTTTATAAAAATTTAAATACTATGTAATATAACTTGAAGAGAAACGGTTGTTAAATGTAAAGGATCAGTAAGTATTTTTCAAGTATGTAAGTATGTATGATCAGTTACTAACTTTGAACACTAATAAACAATGACTTGCAACTTTTGTAACACAACACATATCTGAGACGTGGCCGGCAGCAGTCACTTCGTTCCGGGGATGTTAGAACCAGTTGGGAATCATATGCACCGATGTGCGAGTGTTGTTTTGGAAAAAATGTAAGCTATTTGAATAAAACTATGGAGTTATTCTTCTACATAATTTTACTAGTATATAAGTCGGAGCATGGCGAATCGGTGGACTATATATGTATATATATATATAGCTGACATAGGAATGATCAGTAAATAACTATTATCAATAATTAACTATGAGCCGTAAGTAACTTCGAACAGTGAGTATCTATGAGCAACAAGTAACTCTGAACAGTAAGTATGTATGGGGGACCATGGCAATAAGCAAATTAATTGGAATATAATTTTATAATATAATAATATACAAGTCATGGCTAAGACTTACTGCAGTAGAGGACACGTGGCTCTTTCGTCATTGCTTACTTCCTTCAGTGTAGTAACCAAGATTGGGTGACTTCATCCTGGTCATCCAGATCCATTGCATTGGCCACGTCATATTTTGGTCACTACCGATGTTAACACTAGGTACCCCTCGGACAGACTGAGGCGCGCGCGACCTCAGCGCCTCTATTTATAGTTCCCGAGGAGAGAGTGGAGCAGAGAAAGTGAGTGTGAGTGGGCGGGAGAGTAGGAGTTGCCTCTAGAGATTAACATAGAGCGATAGGCATAGAGAGAGAGGGGGAGAGTCAGAGAGAAACAGCGAGCTATTTAATTAAGTAACTATGATCAGTAAGTAACTCTGATCGGTAAGTATCTATGACCAGTAAGTATGCATGATCAGTTACTAACTTTGAACACTAATAAACAATGACTTGCAACTTTTGTAACACAACACATTTCTGAGACTTGGCCGGGAGAAGGAACTTCGTTCCGGGGATGTTAGATCCAGTTGGGTATCATATGCATAGATGTGCGTGAGTTGTTTTGGAACAAATTTAAGCTATTTAAATAAAACTATGGAGTTATTCTTTTATATAATTGTATTACTATGAAAACTGGAGCATGGCGAATCGGTGTACTTTATATGTATATGCATATATATAGCTGACATAGGAACATTAGGACGATTCATATAACTATGCTCAGTAATTAACTCTGAACAGTGATTACCTATGACCAGTAAGTAATTATGATCAGTAAGTATCAATGGACATTAAGTAACTATGACCACTAAGTAACAATGAACAATAAGTAACTCTGAACAATAAGTATCTATGACCAGTAAGTAACTTTAATCAGTAAATATCTATGACCAGTAAGTATGTATGATCAGTTACTAACTTTGAACACTAATAAACAATGACTTGCAACTTTTGTAACACAACACATATCTGAGACGTGGCCGGCAGCAGTCACTTCGTTCCGGGGATGTTAGAACCAGTTGGGAATCATATGCACCGATGTGCGAGTGTTGTTTTGGAACAAATGTAAGCTATTTGAATAAAACTATGGAGTTATTCTTCTACATAATTTTACTAGTATATAAGTCGGAGCATGGCGAATCGGTGGACTATATATGTATATATATATATAAAGCTGACATAGGAATGATCAGTAAATAACTATTATCAATAATTAACTATGAGCCGTAAGTAACTATGAGCAGTAAGTAACTCCGAACAGTGAGTATCTATGAGCAACAAGTAACTCTGAACAGTAAGTATGTATAGGGGACCATGGCAATAAGCAAATTAATTGGAATATAATTTTATAATATAATAATATACAAGTCATGGCTAAGACTTACCGCAGTAGAGGACACATGGCTCTTTCGTCATTGCTTACTTCCTTCAGTGTAGTAACCAAGATTGGGTGACTTCATCCTGGTCATCCAGATCCATTGCATTGGCCACGTCAAATTTTTGGTCTCGAAGGGTGATCACTTGCACTATCACTTGAGATGTTAACACTAGGTACCCCTAGGACAGACTAAGGCGCACGCGACCTCAGCGCCTCTATTTATAGTTCCCGAGGAGAGAGTGGAGCAGAGAAAGTGAGTGTGAGTGGGCGGGAGAGTAGGAGTTGCCTCTAGAGATTAACATAGAGCGATAGGCATAGAGAGAGAGGGGGAGAGTCAGAGAGAAACAGCGAGCTATTTAATTAAGTAACTATGATCAGTAAGTAACTCTGATCGGGAAGTATCTATGACCAGTAAGTATGCATGATCAGTTACTAACTTTGAACACTAATAAACAATGACTTGCAACTTTTGTAACACAACACATTTCTGAGACTTGGCCGGGAGAAGGAACTTCGTTCCGGGGATGTTAGATCCAGTTGGGTATCATATGCATAGATGTGCGAGTGTTGTTTTGGAACAAATTTAAGCTATTTAAATAAAACTATGGAGTTATTCTTTTATATAATTGTATTACTATGAAAACCGGAGCATGGCGAATCGGTGTACTTTATATGTATATGCATATATATAGCTGACATAGGAACATTAGGACGATTCATATAACTATGCTCAGTAATTAACTCTGAACAGTGATTACCTATGACCAGTAAGTAATTATGATCAGTAAGTATCAATGGACATTAAGTAACTATGACCACTAAGTAACAATGAACAATAAGTAACTCTGAACAATAAGTATCTATGACCAGTAAGTAACTTTAATCAGTAAATATCTATGACCAGTAAGTATGTATGATCAGTTACTAACTTTGAACACTAATAAACAATGACTAGCAACTTTTGTAACACAACACATATCTGAGACGTGGCCGGCAGCAGTCATTTCGTTCCGCGGATCTTAGAACCAGTTGGGAATCATATACTATATTGGTTAACTATGAACATTAAGTATCTATGACCAGTAAGTAACTCTGAACAATTAGAATCTATGACCAGATATTAACTCTGATCAGTAAGTAAATATGAGCATAAGTATCTATGACTAGTAAGTAAGTATGATCATTAATTTAGTATAAGCATTAAGTAACTCTGAACAGTAAGTAACTCTAAGCATTAAGTATTTATGACCATTAAGTATCTATGACCAGTAAGTATTTATGATCAGCGACTAACTTTGGACACTAATAAACAATGACTTGCAAATTTTTTAACACAACACATTTCTGAGACGTGGCCGGCAGCAGTCACTTCGTTCCGGGGATGTTAGAACCAGTTGGGAATCATATGCACAGATGTGCGAGATTTGTTTTGGAACAAGGATCAAGCTATTTGAATGAAACTATGGAGTTATTCTTGTATATAATTTTACCATTAAATAGGTCGGATCATGGCGAATCGGTGGACTATATATATATATATATATATATATATATATATATATATTTAGCTGTCATAGGAACATCGGGAAATTTTTTAGAAAAAAATTATAATTTTTCCAGTTTTGAACAGATTTTCATCAAACTTTATTATAAAACCATTATATGTTAATATAAAACTTTATGAAAATCAGACTAATATATTATATAACTGCCTTACAGGCAGGCAACAGGAGTATATAAACTTCGGCGTGCCGAAGTTAGGTTTCCTTCTTGTTATTTTTGTTTGAATTATTAATTCGATTTTTAAAACAAACTGCTTATAAGTATTGAATATCATATTTAATATGTTATCTTTGGGCTGATGCTCATCTAGCAACAAGTTGAGACAAAATGAGCCTGACTTTTTCGAAGTTTCTAAAGGAGGGGAAATTTCCCCCTATTTAATGTCTTTCCCCGCTCTGAAGGGACGAATTTCTCATGGGATGTTTCCGCTCTGAAAAGTATGCTATAGCCATGCGCCCGCTCACCGAATCCTTGGGCTCTCTTTCGTTTAGTTCATGCCACGGCCATGTGGCGCTACTGTCGCTAGAATCGAGGACTCGGCCAGAACCGAACGAAGTTGGCCGAGACGACCGAGAACGGTATCCCTGTGGCCTGGGCCTGTTTTTGGCTGGCTGAATCGGCGGATTTCCATGTCAGTTCACGTTCGATATTTGTGTTGTTTGGTAGCGGCCATCGGGCGACTGTCGCATGCCTTGAAAAACCCGAACCGAGCGCGTCGCGATTTCCCAAAAATCCCACATCGTACTGAAAAATAGCAGGCAGTGTGTGCGTGAGTGCGAGTTTCTGGCCAAAATGCGCGGCTGTGTGCGTGTTGAAGTTGTTGCATTGACAAGGCGCGACCAAAAACAACGCCCTAGAAAATAGAGGAACGGATGTAGCCAGTGACTTCTGACCTACCCAAGAAAGTCGAGAATTCTAAGCAGGTTCATTCAGCACACATATGCGAGATAAAGGACGCCGGAAATCGCAGGGAGCCATCGAAATTAAAGTGTGCGTGCCAGTGTCTGTGACCGCGTCCGCGTCCCCGTCCGTGTGTGCGTGTGCCAGTGTGCGTGTGTGCGAGGCGCCAACTTGCCCCGGCAGAAAGTATAGAAAATAAATAGTCAGCCCAATGGCAGCCTAGGAGAGCGCACAGGAGGCAGTGTAAAGAATATACGTATATCTCGGCACAGAAATATTAAAGAAAATTAAATCCCCCCCGAGGCTGTGGTGTGAATAGCCGCTAGCCAGTGAAGTGTGACGAAAGAGTGGCCCATTTTCCCTGCCCAAAGAAAGTACATTTTTTGGAAATCAAAGTCAAACCCAAGCACTTGGATCCGGTCTGGACTATTAAACGGTAATTGAGTCATAAATCAAGCCATAATTAAAGCAAATTCACTGCCCGCCTTCATGGGTCAATTCGCCACGCGAGATTAAACTTGAAATGGACATTCAGAGGCGTCGAAAGCTGGCCCTTCCCCAAAAGAAGATCCATGTCCAAGACCAAAATCAAACTCAAGACGGGCCAATCCATCATGTGACTATGGCTCGCTCGGTCTCTCTCTCTAAACCAAACAAAAAAAATGATACTTCGTACCATGAGGGACTTCAACTGATTGATTAGTTGTCGATTTGCGGGCACGCACAAGTCAAGTGTTTTGGCCACGAATATACCGCTCGATTGGCAAAATTTCTTTGTTCGCTTCGGGCTTGTTCTCTGTCTGCCAGACAAACGGCCCTCATTCTGGATGATGGCCAGCATTTGACATGAACAGCGCAATTAGTGCATAAATCGGATTGTGATCCCCCTGACCTGACAATGAACTCTGTCAGTCATTAGGGTTCAATTGTTTCCCCGTTTGCCGCTTTTGTGTTTGCATTTGCATTTGTTGCGGGCTCATCCTTTTTTTTCTGCGGCTTGTTGAGCTCAGATTCTGAACATGAAATTTAAACGAGTATCGAAAATGCAATTGCTTGTTTATAATCGATTTAGCGATGCATTCAGTAAGTTTGAAAAGAAACGAAAAATATCAAACACTTTAATAGGCATCAGAAGAAAGAAGCTAAGCAATCTAAGCTTAGGTTTAGGTTCAAAAAACTAATAGTTTTAGGACCTTCAAGATATTGACAGAGCTATGAAACATATTTCTTAAAAAATATATGTTTAAAATAAAATTCTCTGGTTATATTTATTTATTTGCATAACTAACGAAATATATTAATAAATCAGTAAGCATTTCTTAACTTGAATTTATATCACAACTTCTTCATTAATTTTTAGAGGGCATTAATAAAATTCCATTAAAACACAACACTTTAAATTAATTAAAACAATTTTAAGCTAACTAAATTCATTAACTTTTGGCATACAAAAATACACATCATCGTGACTACAAATTCAAATGTCTGCCCTAAAGGAAATTAACTTTTCTCGGCTCGTGTTCGCTTAGCTCCTCCCCTCACCTCAGCACTTGACTTTTAATTAAATATTAATTTTGATGAGAAAATAATACGCGCACATTAGCACTGGGCCCACCACCAGGGGCGATGACCAATGTAATTATTTGCCAGAGCCGGAAGTGCTCACTTCATGCATAGCTTTTGCTATGAGGCTAATGCCAAAGCCATACCGGATAACCCCCGGTGGTGTTGCTTAGTTGCCGTGATTAATAATGCTTAATTGCAAGTATTTGCTCCGCCGAGGAAAGAACTCTATCCGCGCCACATAGAGGGGGCTTTCCCCTTTTTGATTGATTACCACATTTTGTCGCACTAATACTGAGTGGCTCTGTATAAGTTTTGCGTATCCTTGAGCCTGAACTCGAAGGATTACTAGGGAAGGGGCTTAGCGGTGCGGCCACGTTCTGGCACTTGAAAGCTAATCAACAATTAATGAGCAATTAATATGCAAAATTTGGCACAGGCGGAGGCATCGACAGCGACAGTAGAAGGGCGGGGCACATCATTGGAATGCATAAATTAATAAACGCTTATTCGACACGGGTTTCCGTGATGATGCAGTCGGTCATTAGGCATACACATTCCACATTCGACACCAATTGATTAAATCAAAATTTAAAGGAAAATCTTAGCACTACATGTAGATTTTAAAATACATATTAAGAGGTAAATATTTAAAGGCTCGTTCAAAAATAAAAACCTTAATCAATTCCAAACATTATCAAATATTCTGCGCCATGGAGAGAATACATTTATTTTTGGCTACTGCCTAGCCCTACCATTAAAATATGGATGAGGTTTATTAAATGGCAACTCCAGCGATATGTATAATTAATTTCCTGCATATTGCGTTGAATTTGTTATGTGTAAAGCAAACAAACAATAGCATGTGTCATTAAAATTATAATGTGTGGATGAAAAACTTAACGAATGCGTATTAAAAAAATATATATCGCTGCTTATAAAACAGCAATTAATTTATAATACCAAACAAAAACCAAATATACAATGGAAAGCCGCCGCAGGCAAACCAATTTCATTTTAAATACTTCATGAAGACGAAATGTAACTATTTACCTTGAACGCCTCTCGGGAATAATAAAACGAAACATTTCGGAAACATTTCAACTACAAAAATTTTTTGTTTTTTGAGTTTCCAGCAAAGTGCTGGGTAAACAGTGGCGATAAGAAGGGAAATTATTCCTAAGACCGAAATGTTGCCTGGCAATTGCAGTAATAATATGTCACGAATCCGTGCAGCTAAACATAAAATAATGGCTGCCATAAATCATGGACATTGGCCTTGTCAAATGGCAAGAGTTTGATATATTTGCGGCTGGCGAATGCCAAAACTACACGCAATCGGAATACCAACTAAGACCGCAATTGAAGGTATTTGAATAATAGTTGGGACAAAGTAAACTCGAGCAGCTCAACTTGGCATAAATTCACAGCAAATTTGGTGGAACTTAAGGCATCAGTTCAGGCTATTCATTTTTCTAATGAATTTTTCAGGGGAATCAAGATTGCACTAAGAAATACTGCAAATAATCAGGAAGAAGGAAAGGAAAAGGAATTTTCGAGATATAGCTTAGGAAGTTTGGAATAAATCATTTTGTTTCGGAGAAATTACACGAGTTGTTAAAGCTAATAATATTTGTTTAAAGAACGTTTCCTTATTAATAATTATGCGGATTACTTAAACATACATTGCTCATTTCGGTTCACTTTTCTTTGTAAAAACTTTGTATTGAATAACATTGTATAGAAATTTCCAATGTATTTGTCTCAAGTTAACAACAAAATTTTAATGGAATCATGTTGTTAGCTTGAAGTTTTCATTGTTTTTCTTATATTTAGTTTGGTTTTTGTAGCTCAACATCTCTACCATTAAATTCCCAACATCAGCTAGCCTGTGCTTCCGAAAAATATTTTATAATTAGACTCATTTAAAATTCTTGTTCGCCCGAAGCCCCATTTGTAACGCATTGGGTGCTAAAAGGAACGTATTTTCGCGGCATTATTTTCCGCGAAAATATATAAAACTCTAGGGCCGCCTTTCCCCCCATACAACACGAGCATAATTAAATCAATTGGAGGCACACGGTATCCTAACAATAACAGGGACAAATATCTAGCAAAAAAAAAAGAGAAAAGAAAACAGAGTCGGATGTAAAGTTTGATGAAATCGACTCTGGTTCTTTCCGGCCATTCATTATATTGCTTTGTTTGGACTTTTCCGGTCATGATGAGGGCAATTAGCAAAGTTTTTTTTAGCGATGGCAAACAAAGTGAAGCATACTTTTCCGAGGGTCTGCTGTCGCATGCATAGTTTTTATTCTTTCGGAGGGGCCGAGGGGATCCTGCCATGTAATTGAATATTAATCATACGCCACCCACGCCCATAACTCACGGATATGGGGGCGGGGCATTTGCATGGCAGGCTGGACAGGTGAACGAGAGTCCGGGACCCCTTTATTGTGCATCGAATTCAGGCACTAAAAAAATAAAAAATAAAAGTTGGATAACGAAACTGCCGTGTACTGGCGATATTTATTTATGCAACAACAACAATGACAACAAGGAGGAAGGACTCCGCGAGAGTCCACCTTCAAGCGATCCTGCCGGGCACCTGGCATCGCATGCAGGACCATAAATAAATTTGCTCATATTTCAGCACATGAACAATAATTAAATTCGTTTATGTGGCACAAGGGAGCTGCTAACCGTTTGGTGTGCCTTTTTTTTAACCCTCCTTGGCCATCATCTTTGTAGTTTTTCTGCCCTGGCTGTTGACATTCATAATGGAAATGAATGCTGATGCTGCAGCGCCAATTAATTGTTTTTTGCCACCCCTGCTGCAGTGAATATGTATATTGCCACGCCCTGCGATTGGCGGACTAACAAAAAGAGCGCACATGGGCGCAAATAAATCCCAAGTTTATGACAGACATACACCAGCTGTAATGAAACCGAACTCGAGGTTTTTTTTCGGATTGATAAAATCGAAAATTAATTAAGGATTTATTTTGTCCTTTTTCGGACGCTTCCTTTTAATGGCCTCACCAGGGGAGGTTGGTTATATATGTATCTTTATATTCAAAGTTTTTTGGAATGAATATAATTTAATAAATGGCTTACCAAAGGTTTATGATTGCTCGTGAATCGATGGGCTCCACGGAAAATTGATGGGCATCAGTAGATACATATTTATTTATTACAATAATATGGCAGAAGATTTTTTACAGTATATCTGTAGAAAGCATATACTTTTTATATATTCTGTTAATGGTTATATTCACTTAAGACAGCACTTCCGGCTTTATCATCTGCGAAATTAATTGGTACATGGTTCATTCCATAAATTATTGTTTTACTTTCAATTATCATTAAAAAATTCCGCATTAAAATGGAGCAATTTAAATCATTGATGCAAATTGTAGCATTCCATTTATGATCCTATAGCATTCCTTTGACCTTTTTTATTTTCAGATTCCGTGGACCAAGACGCATATAAATTGTATTGCGGCTGCAATTAAATGAGCATTTCTTTTTTAATTCTCGCAAAATAAAAATATAAAAAAACACATGTGATAAATGTATCTGGGCCACTTGCTGGCGGCTTTTTCAATTATAATTATAATAAAAAAAAAGTTTAAAAAAACCTGCACAAGGCCAGAAAAAATATTGATTTAAATGTGAACAGCGAATTAAATTTGCATATATCAAGAATGCTCCACATGAGCCGCCAGCGTTGATAAGTTTTAAATTTCTGACAAGTTGTCGAGGGACGCATCAACGCTCAAGGCGCTCGTTAAGCTCCAGGAAAGTCAAGCGTTTCAGTCGAATCCGCCGAAGGGCCATAAAATATCAATGCCTGCCTTCTGCCAGCTCCAA